CAAGAGTCCAACGCTCAACCGACTGAGCCACCCAAGTGCCCCCCAAATATAAGGTTTTGAAAAAGCTCAACCACTACTAAACATAATTTCAAGTCTAACAGGAGATGGGGGGTGAATTTTCTTCATTCATTCATTCACACATACATACGTATGTAAACTCAAAATCAACTTCAGCAAACCTCTTTACCAATATTTAAAGCAAAGAGAACAAGTTCCACTCCAACTCGATTTTGTGTTAGCTGCTGCAATATATGATTCAAATCTGACCGCTTCCTTACAATTTACTCTTTTCAAAACTTCCATTTAAAAGTCTCCACTCAACGGGAACCCTCTTGCACTGTTGGTGGGAATGCAAATTGGTGTAGCTTGGAAAGCAGTGGGAGGTTCCTCAGAAAAATTAAAAATAGATCTACCCTATGACCCAGCAATAGCACTTGCTAGGAATTTATCCATAAGGACACAGGAGTACTGATGCATAGGGCACTTGTACCCCATCGTTCATAGCAGCATCAATAGCCAAATTATGGAAAGAGCCCAAATGTCCATCAACTGATGAATGGATCGCTAGTTTATATACAATGGAATAATACGCGGCAATGAGAAAAAATGAAATATGGCCTTTGTAGCAACGTGGATGGAACTGAGAGTGATGCTAAGTGAAATAAGCCATACAGAGAAAGACAGATTCATATGGTTTCACTTATGTGGGATCCTGAGAAACTTAACAGGAAACCCATGGGGGAGGGAAGGAAAAAAAAAAAAAGATGTTGAGTGGGAGAGAAAGCATAAGAGACTGTTGAGACCTGAGAACAAACTAAGGGTTGATGGGGGGTGGGAGGAGGAGAGGGTGGGTGTGATGTGGCATTGAGAGGGCACCTTTGGGATGAGCACTGGGTGTTGTATGGAAACCAATTTGACAATAAATTTCATATATAAAAAAAAAAAAAAAAAAAAGTCTCCACTCAGCCACTGTGTGAGATGTTATTTTTAAGGATGAATTAAAACACACTGAGAAGAAAGCATTTCCAAACAATAAAGTGCTTGTTTGATCTATGATCTACGTTCAAGTTATTCAATCAGATTCCAAACATAAGTCAAAAGGGCAATGTCTGTTTACTATTTACATTTCAGAACAGCATTTGCTATCAGGGAGGACTGGCTAATGCTGCTGCTCAGACTATTATTTAAAGTAATAACAATAAAATATAACACACAGCAAAACCAATATTCTCCAACTTAAAACTTTCACATTTAGAGTCTCCAGTATAGAGATTATCAGCAGATGGTATGAAATAATTTCTATTCCAAGAGCTTCTAAACCTTCTTCTAACATTTCCAATCTATTCTAACAAGATGGATCTATTTCAGAGAATGTGAATCTGTTCATTTTCCCTCAGAAAATTGTGCCAGTGGGGTACCTTGGTGGCTCAATCGGTTACGCATCTGACTCTTGATTCTGGCTCAGATCATGATCCCAGGGTTGTGGGATCGAGCCCCGCATCCAGCTCCACGTTGGGCATGGAGCCTGCTTAAGATTCTCTCCCTCTGCCCCTTGCCCGCCAAGTGCACGTTCTCTCGTTCTCTCAAAAAACAAAAAACCTCAAGTGACAGAAATACACAAGAGCTTTTCCAAAAGGCTCAGGCTACCACTTACCCTCCTTTTAAACTGTAGAGTTTGTCCCCTGAGGCTGAGAAAATTATGACTGATCGATTTGTTAGCTCTCTTCTACATTTTTGGTAGATGTTCTATTTCTGAACTCACCATAAACAAACAAAAAACAGATCCCAGCCCACCCCCCAAGTAACCTTACAGGTTTTTTGTTTTTTTTTTTTTAATTTTTTTTCAACATTTATTTATTTTTGGGACAGAGAGAGACAGAGCATGAACGGGGGAGGGGCAGAGAGAGAGAGGGAGACACAGAATCGGAAACAGGCTCCAGGCTCTGAGCCATCAGCCCAGAGCCTGACGCGGGGCTCGAACTCACGGACCGCGAGATCTTGACCTGGCTGAAGTCGGACGCTTAACCGACTGCGCCACCCAGGCGCCCCATTTAGAACTTTTTAGATGGGACCCCCTGGGCCACTTCACTTACAACACTGGTTTCACAGCATCCCTTTCTAGTCGGCTTCTTTTCCTTTCTTGCAACAGGAAACACAATGCAACTTTCCAGTCACCATTTCCTGCTTCTCACTGGCCCACATGCCACTGTGTCTACAGTGACGATGCTTGACTCTTTCTACCTAATCATTCCTTTTTATTTATATTGGCTCTCTATACCTAGCCTGAACTTCAAAGCCAAACAGATAATATTCTTAGACACTAATTTCCCATGAAGACACATGAGAAACACTTTAAGTGACCCATTCCAGATCGGGCTGTAAGGCTGGTTTGCTATCTTTCCGACTGGCACCATGCAACCCCTGGGACAATCTTTATGGTTAGTGTTCCTGGACAGCACCACGGCAATTTCTTTTACTTTTCCTTTCTTTCCTAAAAGAACGACATACCTCCACTCGTGTTGCAGACTTCAGAACAAATGTAATTTAATTGGTAACAATCTGATAGTCAGGCAACAGATAACTCTACAAAGGATTTTCATAATCTTGAGCAACAGTCTGCTCACAGGGACTGCTATCTACTAGTGAAATCACTTTAGGAAAGCAATGAGTCACTGGTATGACAATAAACAGC